TATATATATATATATATATATATATATCTTTATTGTTCTCATTATTGGTGTTTAGTGAATGACCACGTTTCTTATAATGAACTATGTTTTTTGTTTTAATATTTATCAAAATATTTGAAATGATTTTTATACCCTTGAGAAATTTTTTATTCCTTTACCATGTTGCTATGAGTTTTTCGTTCTGAAAAATTATAAAAAAGAAAAAAACATTAAAAATTAGTTTATCTATATTCAACACGATAATACAGTCATTCTATAGCTATAAAAATTTGTATTTACTTGCGGATGTGTTCTCAATTTATTCGATCTAAATGCAAACCCGCCCTTTTCTCAATGAAAAAACTATTGCTTTTAGGTACATACGCGCACACATTAACAGAAGCGTATAAGTTTATCAAATTGTATATTGCTAAGGAGACCTTTCAGCAATATCCATTCTATTCGACCCAATATAGCTAAAGAAGACAGAAACACTAACAATACAACTGATGCATCACTTCATGGACGACGAAGGTGGGACCGATACCAAAGCGTCCTTTCGTCGAATTCGTCTCCAGACGGAACCTGAGGCTACTACAAAAACCATCACTACTAATAATGATGATACAGAAATAGAACCCCCTCCACAGCTTCCAATCGGACATAAGAATTATTTTTGTTGTCGTACTTGCCGACGTATCCTTTCCGAATCCCAGTGGTATGCGGAGGGCTGTAGTGAGTGCGGGACCGGTCCTATTCGCCGAGGGGAATTGTTGGAGTACGCGAGTTCGCATTTCCACAACTTTTTCGGTCTCATCGCGCCTGAAAAATCATGGGTCGCACGTTTGATTAGGAAGAAAAATTGCGCGAATGGCGTTTTTGCTGAAGCCATTTCCGATGAGGAGCTCGAGGCCGACAAGGAAGATGCCGAAATGGAAAACGAGGCCTCTGAAGATGAGCCTGAAAGGGATTTCTTGCCTAGTACGGACGTTCACGCGGGTGACAAATCTAGCCTCACTAACAGCGAGTTATGGCAAAGCTAGTTTTCGGTTTCGTTGATGAAAGGCTGTTTTCTTGTGTGTCTCTGTGGGAAGATTTATTCTAACAGGAACGTCAGAAAACAAAAACTAATCCATTAAAATTGTACTTCTTCTGTGCATTTACTCCATCACTTTCTCTGACGCCAAAGTAATGCCTTCCTTGAAAATTGTACACAGAAGAGGGAAAGAGGGAAATTGAAATATGCATTCGTGAATGTAATGGCTGGTCCATAATTATTTGTGCTATTGTATTTTCACCTTTCTCTCTTTCTCTTTCTCTTTCTCCTCCCCACTTCGTGTGGTATTCTTACGGATATAATTAATCACCGCATCAACGATATTTAGCGGAAGTAATGTTTTTTCTTCCTTTTGTCGTCAAAGTCAAGAACAAATTCCGAGAATAGAGCCTTTTTCCTTTTCGAGGCCCCAATGTCGTCCAAGACACTCTTTTGTGTACTGAGCTCGAGTCTTGCGCTTGGTTTGCTATCGTATAAAGGCTTTCATCGACGACCCGCCTCGATGTTAAACGACGTCTCTCATGTCTGTTCGAGCGGGTCTTGTGAAATTTTGGAGGAAAAGACGCGATCACCATCGCCGTCTGAGGCCTCAGGGCATTCTTCTACCGCCGTCGTGCATGCCGCGAGCTTCCTAAATCAATATGTAGCCGCTCATGGGAGCGATTCGTGGGAAGTTGACTACGATGACCTTTTACAGTTCGAGTCGACGGTGGCTAAAGGCAAGCCTTGCTTTAGACTCCTGCACTTGAGGGATCCATACCCTCCACCTGGTTCGAATTTATATCCAGTGCATTTTATGCGATTATTAGGCTTCTTCCCCGCTACCACTACGACTGATGTCTACACTCACCTGACGGATCTCAAGCTAAGAAGGTTGTGGGATAAAAATTACCAAATGTTTGAGCAATTCCCCGCGGATCAGGCTCCGCCAAAGGAAGACCTTCCCATAGGTGTGGCGGCAAATCATCTGGGTAAAGGACTTCCAGGGATTATTGGGGATGAAATGCGTCGTCCGATTCATTTTCTTTCTAATAAAACCACCCCATGTTATGACGGTGGTATCTCTAAGCTCGTTTCATATGTCGAGAGTCGAGCGGTAGATCGGGGTTGGTTTTGCCATACCGTGGGGAGCCCCTCTTTATCGAGACTTGGACTTGCCCCTCGTCTTTTTCTTTATGAACGCACAAGCAATCAATATTATTTTGCGGATTCAGGCATGGTTCCTAACGATGCCTCTGATCCGAAGTATGAGGCGTTTTGTAAGCAATCCCCGCTTCTGGTGTATGACATTCTTTACACTGGCACTTCGAGGGATACGGAGCTCGCCACGAGGTCTTGTTCGGCTTTGCAGGAATGGATTAAAGCCATCAAGAAAGGAATCTTCAATAAGGTAGATGTGGAGCTGAACTACCAACACATCCTGCTATTACCCATCATCGATTATGAGCAGCAGATCCTGAGTGATCCACACTTCTTGGTAAAACAGCTTTCTGAATCGGGTAGCATTAATGACGAAAAAGCGACACAAACCATGTACGAAATATTCAAGGAGTCTTCTCAAATTTTAGCAGATGCGCAAACAGTGAATTCGTTTACTTCGGAATGGAAAAAATTGGGAGGAAAATCGGGCGTTCTTCTTCTTATAACCTCTGCCAACAACGTAGGAATACCCCAATCTTTACCGCAGTTTGTGCAAACAGCTTTCGTAACAGCCGTTACTAAGCAAGCTTATCAAAATTTAATGAAAGCTTGTCGGGCGAACTCATCGTAGAAAAGCTTATTTAAACATAATTTCTTATTCATTTATTTATTTATCTCACTTTGTTTACACTGGGTCCCGGTTTTTTTAATTGTTGACGGGCTCAACATTGAGAATTTAATCCATCGCCAATGAAGTTTTGTAAATCTTCACTCATCTATAAAGGATGGTTAGCATCCCCTAATATTTAATTTTCTATGGGTTCTGTTGTTGAAAGAAGTGATAGGGGTACAGGTCCCTAATTTTTGTTTATGAATGTATCGGTTGTCTTTCCAGGATTATGAAATCTACGTACCTGGAATTTCTTTTCTTTCCACAACTCCTAAGTCTGCTTACCGTTTAGTGTTAGGTATGGATAAAGACTTTAAGATTCTTTCTCTAGAGGATTTTAAGAAACGGATGAGAGCCACGTCCCATAATTTATCCATTTCATCTTCTAAGCCGTTTCAGAATGTTGAAGTAACGGAATGCGTTGCCGATATGATTGCATCTACCGCTTCTGAGATTCATTCCGATAACGAACCCCACAAAATGGATCCCTGCAGTGAATTTTTGAGTTATTGCCGTGCTCTAAGCATCAAACCCAACTCTCTTCTTCTTCAAAAAGCAGAGGCCATCAGCAGCGAGGAGGTTGTGAAATTGACAGGAAACTACATTGGAAGTATTGGATTGCAGGCCATCGCGCCGCTGATTGCGAAGAATCCAAACCTGCGGATGCTGTACTTACCCAATAACGGGTTAAACAACAACGCCGCGGTGTTTCTTTGTCGTTCACTCAAGCATCACCCCAACCTGAGTTTGCTCGACCTATCGGGAAACCACGACATCTCCCTCCCGGGTGGGTTTGCGCTGCTGACCCTAGTGCGACAGTGCCCTTCCTTGACTCAGGTCCACCTCGGCCAAACCCAAGTCCCGGCCGAAATGGTGACTAAAATTGCAACGGCCTGCCAACGCCCGTCCGCGCCCTTGTCCCAGCGCAGGGGCCCCCTCTCCCGCGGTGGGGGGTCCCGTTTGCCCTCTCACTCCACGACGGCCGATCCGTCGCCGTCCCAGGCCCTCC